TATGTCAGGGAGTGAAACATCTAAATATGCCTCGATCAGGTTAGGCATATGCTCAACCAAACAGTAGTGGCTCTTATCATTATGATCCTCAAATCTGAAACACTTTACAGCAGGAGTTTCTATCACAAACCCTTCTATGTCATGATCAGAGGGTATATAGAGTGACAAACTCTGCAAAGATGGAACAACAATAGTAAACTTTCCTGATTCATCCTCATGTAAATCCACCGTTAGATCTTCAAGAACAGGGGAATTTGATAGAAGCCGCTGAAGGGTCTGTTCGTTGATGTATCTCACATATTCAAGTTTCAGAGTTTTGAGAGAGGGAAGAGAGACCATTCGAGGAACATCCAAGAGGATCCCACCTGCCAGTTTCAAGATTACAAGAGATTTGCATGTCAACAAGTTACTCGGCAATATGACTGGCTTAGACTCACATAATATCTCCAGCTCACGTAGGCAGTGAGAAACAGCTAACGCAACCCACATCTTGATACTCTCCGGTTTAAAACGTGAACTAACTAATTCAAGACGGAAGCTTTCGAGAACTGGAGCTCTATGTACTGGTAGATTTCTGTCGAGGAAACACTGTAGCCTCTCGCATTCAGATCGTGAAAAATGTCTACGGCCGTAATCAAGTTTAGGCAACCACATCCAAAGATACTCCCAACGTTTGGACAAGACGCTAGTTGTCACAGCAACTTTGGTCGGAACCAACAATAAAATCTTGAGAAGCAGTTCATCAGACAACCCACTGATTCTATCCATCTCTTTTACAAAACCAAACTCAATGTACCGTTTTTACTGTCGACAGAATCTAAACACAAAACAGAAGAAAAAACATCTTTTAAGGACTATTAAACTGATTTGTTCAAAAAAAAAAAAAAAAAAGGACTATTAAACTGATTAGTAACAAAGCGAAACCAAAAGAGAGGAACATAGACAAAACCTTAGAGAATTCGGATAGTTAGGTGATAAGTGTTCCCCGAGGAAGTAGAATTAGAAGCTAAATCGGAAGTGAACACAAGACTGTTGAAAGTATTTTGTCTTAAGACTACTGAAGAGACGGGGTTGTCTGAGACGGAATCGACGATTAGCATCGGAATTACCAAGCTTTGGTGGGCGGGCCTATTACTGGGCCTTAGTATGTGGGCCGAGCTTTCATGTATTTTACTGGGCCTGACAATTTGGTAAGGAAAAACCCTACTTGGTTTTATAAAATCACTACTCGATGAACCTATAAACAAGCAGCGTCTCCCAGCTCTTGATGTAATTACTTTTCGTGTCTGTTAAAAGATTCCTGTTACTTGAGCCGACAAATTATGTTTTTCTTGGCTCTTTCGTTTTTGTTTATGTTTATAGTGTTGATTGGTGGTTTTCTTGAATTTGATTCTTTTGTTTCGAATTAGTTTTCTAAACGGTGATGATGATAAGATATAATCCCAGCTCTATGAGACCTTTTGTGGTCTAGGAGTACAACTATGTTCAATACATTGTATCTGAACCTTTTAATTTATGGGGCTGTTCGTATTAATTATATCTTCTCAATTTTGGTTTGTGTTTGATTGGGGTTTAAGTTGGCTATGATGATAACATTATTATCCCAGCTCATTATGAGGCCTTTTGTGGCCAATGAAAATATTTGTTTTCTTTAACATTTTCTGAGCCCTTAAAACCCACGAATTATATTCTTCTTCTTATTCAAATTTTGATCTGGTGGCTTCCTGTGATGATTTAAAAAGCTAATGTATACCTGATATTTATATGATCTGTAATTTATACCTGAGGGAAAATATATGTTTTAATTAATGCTGGAATGTGTAACTCTTATTTTGCTTAGTAATAATGTAAATTCAAGAGAGTTTATAATATATTCCCTATGATGGCTTAACCATGCTAATACTGATTTCTTTTGACTGAAACAAAGTTAAATGTCTGAGGGAATAATTTTAATCCTTGTGTTGTCTGATTAGGTTTTTAATTATTTGTTCTTGTCTGATTATTGGGGTAATGTGCAATGTCCTTTTCTGTTACTTCATGTTTTATCTTGAGAAGTGAGGTTGTGATCTGAGTAGCTTCTTTGCCCGTTTTTGTTTAAAAAAAATTCTTTTTCCTCTGCCAAGAGTAAGAGGAGTTAATTATGCATATTAGTCTTGTCTCAACCGCATTTGATATAAAGCTCGGCATGCTATATAGAGAGAAAGACATGTGAAAATCTGCTTTACTCAACCCAATGTAGGCTTTTACCATCCTGAGCTAAATGGCAAAGCGCAAGCTCAATGTGACGTTGTGTTGTTGATGTATGATTCGATATGTGAGTTTGAAGTCAAACCATTCAAGCGCACCTTCTTCCAGAAGAAGCGAACGGTCTTAGTAGGGAGTCTGTTGGTCATCTGTTTTGGTCACCATCTTTGATGGCAATCGAGTCATTATTAGGTACATACGATCTTGACTCTTGTACGATTAATAAATCATGTAACGGAAAGAAACCGTAACTCTTATAAATTTAGCAGAAGAAAAGCAATGTAAATAAATGACACAACCACATGAGACCCCCACTTATATTCTAACTTGGTATTTGCTTAACTGGTTATGAGCCAAATATATTGTAAAATTACTTGAACCACCAATAGAAGTTCTTACCGTTTATTGCCAAATTAGCATAAGCAACGCTTCCACACCCCCTAGCTCCACAATCTTCACCTGTAACAGTAGAGAGGAAACTAAATATGAGGTTCACAGAGTCTTTTTTAACCCTTGAGATCTCTGTGAGCATGGTATAGCTCCAAATTCTGATGATCCTATTGGAGTATCTTCCTTTCTTCATACACTTGTCCATGTGAAAATATAAATTGTACTTAGCAAGACCATGAAGTACAGATACATGTTGAAGGTGTGAAACAAGCTTATTCTATATTCACCTCAACCACAATTTTTTACTTGTAACAACAACAATTTTCACTTGTAATTCTCATCACATAACTTAGCTACAAACAACTACCATTCAGTCGTTGTTTTTTCAGTGGATAAAATATAGAAAAGAGTTTGGAAACAAAGTTTTCAGAGTTGAAGACAAAACCATACGAGTACAAGCGCACAAATGAAAAGAAGAATAGAAACGATTTTAAAGACCAAATAATTATTCGAACAAGAGTTGGCATGCTGCTAAAGCTTTAGAAGAAAGTTCCAACTCCTTTAACATCTCAGATTTTGATAATTCTTCACATTCAGTTGATGAGGTGATTGTTGCAGTCTTTAAGTGAAGAGCATGTGTCAGAATGTAAACCGCAATCTCTCTCTCTTGTGGTTTTCCTTTGTATTTCAACCAGCTGAGACTTTGAAGACTCGACAACATACATTCAGGAACAGTGCTTGACTGATTCCAGTAACCCATACCGTCATACATATGACACTGAGATCAACCAAAAGAATTTAATTTAAATCCAGATTATGAATCCCCACCATAAAATATAATTATCAGAAAAAACTTACATCCATATGGAAAATGTGAAGTCCTCGCAAGTTAGAAGAAGATTTGAGCAGCCGGACAAGTTGATTCGAGGATTGATCTCCGCAAATACATACCTCCAAATGTTCAAGCTGGTTGAAGACAATACCTTCATCAAGGATAGTCTGCACACAGAATAATACTAAAGTCACTTACTGAGCAAATGATTAATACATAAAAATGAGTTGATAAAATGGGAAAAATATAATTACCTTTGCACATATCACAAGACGTTTGACAGACGTGATTGATCCAATAATACTCATAGGATGATAAACATCTAGATATGCCTCGACCAGGAAAGGCATGTTCTCGATCAAACAGCCGTGAGGCCCGTGCCCTTTATAATTATCATCCTTAAGTTTGAAATACTTTAGAGAAGGAGTTTCTATCACAACCCCATCTATTATCTTAAGGCAATTCGGTAAATAGAGTGACAACCTCTGCAAAGATGGAACAACAATAGACAACTTTCGAGTAGAGTGAGGAGATTCTAAAATCACGTTTAGATCTTCAAGAATAGGACAATTTGATAGAAGCCGTTGAAGAGTTCCGTCCTTAAAGTATTTCACACTTTCAAGTTTCAGAGTTTTTAGACAAGGAAGAGAGACCATTCTAGGAACATCCAAGAGGATCCTCCTGCTACATAGTCTCAAGACCACGAGCGAATTGCAGGTAAACAAGTTACTCGGCAATAAAATTGATATACCAGACGAATAACCCCCACACGATATCTCAAGCTCACGTACACAGTGAGAAACAGTTGTTAAAACCCACATTTTGATACTTTTCGGTTCAAAAACTGAATTATCCAATTCAATACGGAAGCGTTCGATAACCGGAGCTCTATGTAATGGCAGGTTCATGTCAAGGAAACACTGTAGCTTCTGGCATTCAGATTTTGAACAATCTTTACCACCACCGTAATCAAGTTTAGGCAACCACATCCAAAGATACTCCCACCGTTTCGACAAGATGCTTGTTGATACTGCAACTTTTGTCGGAACCAACAGTAAAATCTTAATAAGCAGTTCATCAGGTAACCCACTGATTCTGTCCATATCCTGAAAAGGAGACAAAACCCTACACTCAAAAACATCTTCAAGACTAACCAAACGAATTACTAAAAAAGAAAAACGAATTACTAACAATCAAAACCCGAAAAGTGAGGAACAAAAAAAACCTTAGAGAATCTGGATAGTTAGGTGTGACGAGTGTTCCCCAAGTTAACAGAATCAGAAGATAAACCTAAAAGTAGAGACTGTTTCGGTTGAGAAGGAAATCACATACTAAAATATAAAATGGTAATGGGCTTTACAAATATACATTAATTAGGATGGGCTTGCACTTTATAAAAACCACCGTAATGGGCTTAGTTTTGGGTAATCAAACCGGTTTCGGATCTGATCTGCACAAAAATCATTCATCGGTTAGTTGCTGAAGTCTTTTTATTCTTTGGTTTTCTGAATTTTCCGGAGGTGGATTTGATTTGATCCGATGTTCAATCAGTTCGGCTCCACGGCGGAGACTCTGAGCAAGGCCTCAGCAGCGGTTCTCCGGATCGGCACCGACGCTCACCTCTACGACGATCCGGAAGACGTCAACATCGCTCCACTTCTCGATAGCAAGTTCGAATCGGAGAAATGCGAAGCTCTCAAGCGTCTCCTTGCTCTCATCGCCCAAGGCTTCGACGTCTCCAACTTCTTCCCTCAGGTGCTTGATTTGATCGTTTCGATACAATAGAATTCAATATAAAATTACAATTCCTAGAAAATATCGTAGAGCTCAGATTTATTATAAACGTTTTTTTCAATTTTCGCAGGTAGTGAAGAATGTTGCGTCACATTCATCGGAAGTTAAGAAGCTTGTTTACTTGTATTTGCTACACTATGCAGAAAAGTATGTGAGACCTTATTTGATTCATTGGTGACGTGTGCATAAGTGTTTGTTGTGCATCTACATGTGTGTATATGAATTTAGGTTAATTATTAGTTTATTTATACTTTGTATACTATATGCTCTTTTAGATTATTTATATGTGAATGTAACTTACATTTTTTAGCTATCATTTGGTTTTTTGTTAGGCGTCCTAATGAAGCATTGCTATCGATTAACTACTTCCAGAAGGATTTGGGAGATCCAAACCCGTTGGTTAGAGCTTGGGCGCTTCGTACAATGGCTGGGATTCGTTTACACGTAATTGCTCCTCTGGCACTTGCAGCTGTGAGTAAATGCGCGAGAGATCCAGCTGTTTATGTTAGAAAATGTGCTGCTAATGCTCTTCCAAAGTTGAATGATTTGCGCCTCGAAGAACACGCTTCTGCAATTGAAGAGGTTAGTTCAAAATACTTTTGCAATAGAAGGATTTTGAATAACGGTTTGGTTTTTGGTTGGTTGCAGATAGTGGGGATATTGTTAAATGATCATTCTCCGGGTGTAGTTGGAGCTGCGGCAGCAGCATTCACTTCCATCTGTCCGAATAATTTTAAATTGATAGGGAAGAATTATAAGAAGCTGTGTCAGATTCTTCCTGACGTTGAGGAGTGGGGTCAGATACTACTCATAGGAACTCTTTTGCGCTACGTTGTTGCAAGGCATGGACTTGTAAGGGAATCGTTGATGCTGTCTTTACATGGTTTGGATAGTAACGGCTTCTATGAGAAGGATGGTGTAGTCAGAGATGAAAGAGATGGTGATAAGAGGGATTTGTTTGATGCTAATCTTGTCAGTCTTGTATCTAAATGTTACATTGAAGGACCAGACGAGTACATGTCACGAGATAATTACGGCGAAACGGTGGCAGCTTCGTTTGATAGCAAAGAGACGACATCTGTTGGAGATAATGAAGATGTTAAGATTCTGCTTCAGTGTACATCCCCGTTGTTATGGAGTAATAACAGTGCAGTTGTACTAGCAGCAGCGGGTGTTCAGTGGATAATGGCGCCTCTGGAAGATGTTAAAAAGATTGTTAAACCACTCTTATTTTTGCTTAGATCATCCACTGCCTCTAAATATGTGGTAACCATTCTTTTATTTCTATTGCCTATGTTTATCTGATCAATCCACTCTACATCGTCTGTGTTAGCATGATGAAATATGTTCTCTGAGCGTTGTTTTATTCATGATTTGTTGCAGGTCCTCTGCAATATCCTTGTTTTTGCCAAAGCAGTCCCTTCTCTCTTTGCCCCACACTTCGAAGATTTTTTTATTTGCTCATCAGATGCATATCAAGTAAAAGCACATAAGCTGGAGATGCTCTCTCTCATTGCTACCACTTCATCTATCTCTTCGATTTTGAGAGAGTTTGAGGTGATACTTAATCCTTAGCAGATTATTGAAGTTTTTATCAATTTGGAAAAGTTTGCGTGAACATTTGGTTTTTCAGTAGGATAACAACTTCTGCATCTTCATCTTTGTCCTCTTATTTAGCAGAAATTTTGTGCGCATGATTGAAGTTTGTAATCATAAACTTTTTCCAGGATTACATCAAAGATCCAGACAGGAGTTTTGCAGCTGATACAGTTGCAGCAATTGGTTTGTGTGCAAAAAGACTGCCAGAAATTCCAACTGCATGCCTTAATGGATTGCTGGCACTAGTTAGACAAGGTATGATATACTTCATTTTAATTGCATTCATTAGTTAAACTATCTGGCAGTTTAGATAAAGTAGCTCTTACAATGTTGCAGAATCTTTTGCTGGCGATCTCGAATCAGTGGATGGAGAAGCTGGGGTGTTGGTGCAAGCTGTGATGTCAATTCAGACTATCATAGAGCGAGATCCCCTTAGTCATGAGAAAGTATATACACTTTATTCACTTTATGAAGCTTCTCGATGATATCACTATCAAAACACATGCTTAGAAGCTGACACTTTTGTAAATTGTTTTTGTTTGAAGGTGATAATTCAACTGTTTCGTAGTCTGGATTCAGTCAAGGTAGCTGCTGCTCGTGCAACTATTATTTGGATGGTAGGTGTCTACTGCTCTTTGGGTCATATCATTCCAAGGATGCTGACCACAATAACCAAGTACCTTGCATGGAGCTTTAAATCAGAGGCATCAGAGACGAAACTACAGATTCTTAATACTGCTGCTAAGGTACTACTAGGGGAGTTGCCACAAACCTCTAATTATAACCAGTATCTATACATTTACCATTTGACGGAATAGCTATATGATTCAATGAGAGAGGCCATCTACATCTGTTGTGCTATTTGAACAATCATTTTCTTCTTCCAGCAAAACAAAATCATATCCGTTTCTGAGCTAATAGTATAAGAGTTTTACAACCGATGGCTTTTCTGTCCTGTCAAATCATTTAGGTATAAAACAAATTTAGTTACTGCACGTGCTGATATGTACGTTTTGCTTAGGCATGTCTCAGTAATGTTCTCAGAAGATATTGATCAAGTAGTTTTCATATTACTTCATATTTGCAGGTTCTAATAAGTGCTGAGGTCGAAGAATTTCAGATGTTGAAAAAGATTGTGCTCTACGTGCTTGAATTAGGAGAATGTGACTTAAACTATGATGTTCGTGATCGAACTCGTTTCCTCAAGAAAATGCTATCGTACAAATTAGCTTGTCATGAGCCAGCGGAAGACAGTGTGGCATCACATGGAAATATTGCTGAGCATGTTGTGGAACATGTCTTCGGAAGAAAGCTGAAGCCTTTTTCACCTTTAGCCCTGCACAACCGTTTCTATCTTCCTGGATCTCTGTCACAGATAGTTCTACATGCGGCTCCTGGATATGAAGCTCTTCCAAAGCCCTGTAGTTTTGTCTTTGAAGAACATGATCACCTGTCAGATTCTGCTAGACAAAGAGAGGCCAGAGATGATTTAAATGGTTCTCAGGAATCTTCTGAAACAGGGGATGAAGATGGCTCTTCTGAATATGATTCTGAATCATATAACGGTTCAGATTTCAGCTGTGCTGGTGATGAAAGAAATGATGCCAACGATGCAAATGATCCTTTAATTCAAATCTCAGAGGTTGCTGTTTCTACTGACCAGGAAGAACTAAGGTCAAAAATGGCTCTGGATCTGTGGTTAGACGAGGAGTCTAGCTCATCAAATCAAACTCCATCTGCACTAGATAGGAATCAGAGCTCTTATGCCAAAATATCCGTTGGTGATATAGGAAGCAGAGTAAATCCTAAAAGCTATACTCTCTTAGACCCTGGAAATGGCAATGGCTTGAAGATAGACTATACCTTCTTATCTGAAGTCTCCACTGCATCTCCATTACACGTTTGTGTAGAAGTTCTCTTTCAGAACAGTTCTACAGAACCTATCCTTGAGGTCAACTTGGAGTATGAAGAAGCGAAGAAAGAATCAGACTCTGCTGAACAAACTTTGGTGGGCAAAGCAAAGTGAGTTTTTTTACTTTCACTATGCCCAATTGATTTACAAAACCTGAGCTCTGATTATCTTATTTCCGTTTTCGAAACCCTATGCAGTGCATCTTACAACAATGTGCCAACACTAATCCGAATGGAGGAACTCAACTGCCTTGAACCAGGTCAGAGCGCAAAGAGGCTTATCCAGGTTAGGTTTCATCACCACCTACTTCCCATGAGGTTAAGCTTACACTACAATGGCAAGAAGGTTCCTGTTAAGTTACGTCCTGATCTCGGTTACCTTGTGAAACCGTTTCCAATAACCATTGAGGAGTTCTTAGCCACAGAATCTCGGTTACCTGGAATGTTCGAGTATAGTCGAAGGTCATCTAGCTCCTCTCTCTACTTAAATTATAACTTGGACCAATCTCTTTTCGCAAGTATTGATTTGTCTTAACCTCTCTTGGCTTTTGGTAGGTGTACTTTCACAGATCATGTCAAAGACACAAGAATGGAGAATGGGAAAGACAAGTTTCTGAGCATCTGCGAGTCTATAACGCTGAAAGTGCTTAGCAATTCAAACCTACACCTTGTGTCTGTGGATTTGCCAGTTGCAAACACACTTGAAGATGCAACTGGTCTGCGTTTGAGATTCAGCAGCAAAATCTTGAGCAGTGAGATACCTCTTTTGATTACCATCACAGTCCAAGGTAAATGCAGTGAAGATCTGAACTTAACAGTTAAGATCAATTGCGAAGAAACGGTTTTCGGTTTAAACCTGTTGAACAGGATTGCTAATTTCTTGGTTGAGACGTCTTCTTCAGCCAGCTCATGAGCAAAAATCGAGTTTTACTTCTTTTTTGTTATATACTTACTATATATGTCACCACCATGTGATGAATGTGTATTACGTTACCTGACGCTTTTCCATCGTTTTAAATTTTTGATACGTCTGTAAAATTCATATATTGTTTTTGAATTCAGCCAAGTGCATAAGCAAAGTTTATTGTTTATGATGCTTACGTAGAATGTATCATGGTCCATTACTGACGATGACTTTGTAGTCGCGCAGAAACTTTTCTCTCCGTTAGAGTTTGTAACTTTTTTTTGATTAACCTGGGGAATCCTACACCCATGGAAAGGCCTAGACTAATCTCTAAGGGGAGATGCAGCCTACGGATAAACCCTCTCTCCAGGTATTCAAATGGGTCCTAAAACATAGACTCATATCCGTGTTAGGTGACCAGGATAATTATGACTTAATTTCGCGCAGCAGATACATCGAACCTGAAACATGTTGGTGTCTCATCCCCATCTCCTTACCACTCGACCACAATCACCCGGTCATTTGAGTTTGTAATTGCAAGTCGATTTCTACCTCCTTACTTCCCATTAAAATAACATTTGCACTATAAAACTAGAAGATAACAAATCATAAACAACGATGATATGCTGAATAAATCGATATATAGATTTCACGGTTGTGTTAAAACTATTTTTGTGAAAAAATTTGAATAGTTTAGTGATGTTCACACTAAAGATAAAAACCGGGCAATTTATGAAGAATAGATAAGAATATTTTTATATTATATTTATTTAATTTACTTTTTTATTTTGTGACTTTCAGACCGCTAGAACAAACTACAATAGAAATTTCTCAAACAAAGTATTTTAGCTATATGTATCTATAAATATTTATATTTTATTAATGAGTTTTCAAAATCATAAGAATTCCTTAAAATATTTTATTTGAATATATTTGAAAAGGAGATTTGATGATTTTGAGAACAGCAAACAATATTTGATTAAAATGTTTTACTTTGTATGTTAGAATTCTTGTGAAAACCCTTCACTGGGTTGCTCTAATATATCAATTAAGATTGCTTTTAAGTAATTTTATGCAACAGGCAGCAGATTCATCTTTTGCTCAGCGTTTAACATTTTCTTGAATACTGAAATTAAATACAATGAGATCCACCACAACACACAAATGACATACAATATCTGTTAAGAGTTTTTTTTGTTGAAATTAAAAAAAAAATGCTTAATGTGTTCACACTAAATGTAAAACCTGGAAAGTATAAACGAGCAATCTAAAGTAGAAATTAATCAAACTGGCTATGCTTCCATCCACCAAACTCTTCTCCATCTATTCCTCTGTCTTGCTGAATATTCCCAGTAAAAAAAAAGAAGCAAAAAGAGATTCAGTAAGATGGTATATAAAACTAAGTTAGAAAAACAAATTAAAGACAGACAAAGAGAAAGAGAAAGTACTTGAACAGAGTAAGTAACTCCGAGGAGAATCTCGCCGACAAAAGTGAGATCAGTGTCAACAACGTTGTACTTGGTCGGCCTTAGCTCAGCGGTTCCTTTCTCCACTCCCATTTCCAATAACTCTTTCACATATATTCTGTTTATTCATTTTTATTCGCACATAGTATTTTGCTTTTTACTTCAGTCAAGTGCATAAGCAAAGTTTAGTGTGTATACTATAAAATGACACTTACGTAGCTTCGCCGATGGGATCGTCGGCGGAGAAAGTATCATGGTCCATGACTTTGACGATGAGTTTGTAGTCGCCGCCGGAGCCGGGAAACTCTGCTCTCCATTTCAGTTTCTCATTCCATGTCGGATTTCTACCTCCATCTTTTCCATTATAATAACACAAATATTATTAGAGTATCTAGTATGATTGTATGAAAGTCTATGTGGTCATTACATTGTTATGTAAGTTATAATACAAAGTTTGGTATATTGATAGTTAGCTAAAAATGAGGTTGGCAAGACAATCACACACTAACTACAATGACTACTTCCACAAGAAAGCTCCAAACAACAAATTTTCAAAATTTAAAACCATACAATAAAAGAAAACTTACAAGATACCTCTAAATTTTGCAAGTATTAAATTGCATAATGACGAATAGCAAAATAATAAGATATTTGAGATTAACAAATATTTGATGATTACTGAATACTCATGTGACAAAGACACAATTAATAAATTAGGTTTTTGTTGATTAAGTGATTAACTGATGACTTCATTTGATCATTTTATATTTTTAACACGTGTTCCAATCTTATACATGGCTGGAAATCAAATACCAGGCACCACTTTCTAAAGGAACTACAACCATTAATATATTACTGTTATTAACACAAAAAGCCTACAACCATTATAAATCGAGTTACCAGCATGTGGCAATTTGTTTCCACCAAGAAAATATATTAGCAATTTGTTCATTTCTGAAGTCCTAGTAGTTTTTTTTACATAATAAATGCTATGTCTAATACTAAAAGTCTAAAAAATGACAGTAATGATAATGATGGAGAACTAGTCTGGCGCATGAAAGGAGAGAAGTCAATCTAAAAAGCTGAGATCTGGAGGACAACATGGAGAGAATGTAATACGCAAGTTAATATAATACCTTTATCAACGCTGCTTTTGCGGGTTTGTCCTTTGTAATGGATCTCAACATAAGGATCTATCTTACCTTCAAAGGAATTAACATCAAAATTTATGTCAAAATTAAAAGCCAAGAACAAACCAAAAAATAAAGAGATAATAAATCTGAATGAGAGAAGAGAACAAATTTAAAATTTACCAAAAAATTCAGATCGTTTGAGACCTTTCCCACTGATCACATCAACCTCTAGGATTCCCACAGCCATATCTGTCTCTGGAGAGCTTTTCAGAAGAAAATATTGGGTTTGTTTGAAGTTTTCTAAACCAAGAAAGAAGAAGATGGAAATCTTAATGAACAAGTGGTTGTGTCAGAGAAAGTCTTTAAATACAGAACTCGTTCACATTATTTATCACTATTTTTTTTCAATTCCAAAGAATAACAGACCGAACCAAACCATTATTTAGAAGGAAACCTAATAACCTATGTTATGCTCAACCAACCAAACTAAATAAACCATATATTAACTCGTATTTCGAGTACCGGTTTGACGTATGATGATTGGCTCCTTGAAAATTGAATACTAACCAACCAAAACAAAGAAACGAAGCCTTGGACTTTTGTCCAAAATAGACTCTAAGAAACATCATAATGTCTTCTACTTCTGTACGACTGTTATACAAAAGTTAAAGCTTAACCAAACTTCATTAATATAAAAACTCACAAATTGAGAAAGATCTCTAGTAACATAACATCACAACACAAATATCATTAGGAAGCCAGAGGAAGGAGTTTTTGAGAACACAGACCACAAGAGAAACAAAGAACATGGAGAGTTGCACAAAGATTTGGTCTGAGAGATAAGCGGCTTTTCTAACATAAGTTTCATCTTGGAGATGCCTCCACAGATCTGGACCTGGATCCAGATGGCGACCTTGAAACTGCTCTTCCCCCACGACGCCTTTCCTCTGCTTCATACCCCGGTTTCCTATTAAAAAAATAGGACCAATCAATGTCCAAATACTCTCTAATCAGACACAGTCATGTCTCACTTACTCTCTAATCTCATCCTCTCCATTTCTGTCCCGGTCTGGAGCATCACCACCACCACCTTCATAGCCAGGTGAATAAGACCTGCGACTGTATTTTCCATCTTCTTCTCCTCCTCGAGGAGGACCTCTTGGTGGTGGTGATCGTGGACGTTCCTCACGTCTTCTCCTTGGAGATGCTGAATAGTCTGCTCCTCTTCTTCTTGGTGCAGGAGAATAAGACCTGTATTACCATCATTGTAAATCATATTAGTCTTGAGAATGATGTAAGAAAGTTTAAAAGTGATGAAACCTGTTATTACCTTGATCGGCGTCTGCTTCTAGAGTCTGATGGACGGCGTGGAGAACGTGATCTAGAGATTGAACGTGAACGAGACCGTCCTCTAGAGCCAGAAGGTTCCCTGAAAAAGTTGAGAGGAAGCATTGTGATTATTTCATTGAATATAGACAATAAAGTTACTGATGAAGAGCGAGCGATTTGATTTGTTACCTGCTACGAGTCCTAGTCTTGACACGCATCTCCTCAGGTCTTTTCCTAGACTCTGAGGCAACAACAACAGTTATCTCTCTCCCAGCGAATACTCTCCTGTTCATACTTCTTTGAGCTTCTCCAGCATCATATGCATCAACAAACTCCACAAAAGCAAAACCACGAGGCTGCCTGCATGATTCATTACAAACTTATCGTCCATACTGGTTGTTGATGGTCCATTGCAGAAGCACATAACACCAGAACAAAAGCTAGATTTACCGGTTAAAAAAAATCACCCTATGCTTAACTACTAATCTGTATACCTTTCTCAAATACCTCAAGCTTCTGAGAACTTCTATGAAAAAGCAGAGCTTTACTTAAATCAAGAGCTGGTCTTTTCTTAACACTTCAAGCACAGTAACTCGAAAAGAAGACCCAAGAAATTATCTTGTGTACCACTTGAGATCCCAAAGCTAAGTTATCTTCAAGTCACTTTCTTCAATTATAAATTGTATAGCTTCATAAGGAACATGCTTCACTTATTACATCAGCTTCCACAGAATATTCTTCACTTCCAAACAAAAAACATTCTTCACTAGTTGACTTGACTCTTAATATCCTTTTGGATCAATAAGCTAAAGCATAATATTTCACAAGGGCTTCATCAAAATGTGGGGCTTGCTTGGTCTTGTTTTTAACTTCAAGCCAACATACCCCCTGGGGAAATCATTCCAACATTTAATTTTTACTATGGAAAAAGCAATCCAAAAAAAACAGAAAATCTCTGAAAAATCAAGACCTCAAACCAAAAGAGTCTCTTCTCACCTCAAAAAGAACTTAGCATAACATTTGCTCAAACCACTAAGGAAGAATCATATACTAATCAAGCACATAACTAGTCTATCTATAAATATTAACCAACTTGAAGTCAGAGTAGTAAGGAACAAGGCTCACCCTGAGTAATAATCTCTGGGGATATAGACATCCCTCACTGGTCCAAACCTCTCAAAGGGCACACGAAGCTCTTCTGGTCTACAAAAATCAACACAACAAAATCAACAAAACCATAAAGTCTAAGCAAAGGAGCCAAAGAAAGTACCTGCAATCTAGTGGAATATTTCGAACCAAGAGACTTCCAGAGCTAGATCCCCTGCGTCCACCACCACCACCACCACCACCACCATAACCACGTCTAGGAGGAGGAGGAGGAGGGCTTCTATCTCGACCACCGTATCCTCTCCTCGGAGGGCTGTAATAAGCCGGACTGTATCTCCTACTCATCACTACAACAACCTATAAACGGTTCCAATGCGAGATCAATGAAAAAGGTAAGATTCTTGGACGAAAAGTAATAGATTAGGGTTTACAATCGGAGAATTAACCTGCGACGGAGCTTCGGAGAAGATAGTTAAAAAGAAAAGACAGATCTAAAGTGAACCCTAAGCTCTTCTTGTCTTTTTGATCAAATAAAAGAAAAAGAATAAAAAACTCGTCTTAAAAAAAAAGGAAGAGAGAATAGTTGGTTTTATTAGCCCATGTTTAGAATGGGCTTGGCCTTTTACATTTTTGTGACTTTTATTTTCAGCATATTTTTGCGAATGGCCTTTTTTAGAAAAAATGATAAAAGAAAAACACTGCATGGTCATTTATTGGTGGTGATTTATGTGAAGGTTCTCTGGTGTTGGAATGTAAAATTAATTATTCATTACATATGTACATAACATAACCAATGGAAAAAAACATGACATTTTTTTTTTCTTAACGAATCTGTTATAGTAGACCCTTTTTAAATGTATATTGAGGGAGATAGAATCAAAATCCGATTTAAAATATTGAAGAGCTGAAATTTTACCACTTGCGATCATTTGATACGATGAAGAGTTTTACAACCAAAAAAAGATTATTATGAGACATCTTCTTTCAAAACATGTAGCCAAAGTGTTTCGTGAAAGTAGAACGAAATTAAGCTGATAATTGTTGATCAGTTAGATATGTAACCCTTGTTACAACAGAAAAAAAGTTGAATTGGAAGCGTTGCCATTGGTATAAAATACGATGGTGAATCTATTCTCAGATGTACGAGTTTCTTACTTCCTTTTTAAAAAGATAGAGTATTCTTGTAAATTTCTAGCTTAGTTACATTTTGTAAACACATATCCAATGTAAAACTTATAATTACTTTATATTATGTTAACTGAAATGTTATTCAGAACGTGCTGTTAAGTATTAACTAACGTTCAAATACCTCACACCAACCGTTTTTAAGATATCTTCTACAAACCAGAAGGGTTGCAAAAGAAAACATTACTCTGATCAAATCATTTTGGCGCTGAATATATCCCAAGCATATTCTATATCTTTGGCAACAACTTCTTCTCAATGAAGAATCACCATACCTACCGAAAAGGATTCTCTACCAGATATATTATTCACTTAAAAAAACGAAAAAAACATGCATAACGAGATGAGTTAGTAGATATAAACAAATTTCTCTCAAATTCTCTAGTGTTCTCTAATAATAAAGAAGCCCACACAATAATTCCTTTTTTTTCCCACACAATAATTCCAGTACCAGTGGTTACGGTCTGGACGTGGTAGCGACAATTTTAGTTCTATATAAAGCAGTATAAAGAATAAATGCACAAACTTTTATTCAAGTGTAGAACATTATGAATTTTTTTAAATGTTAGACCGGCACTGTATGTATCTATACTTGCTGATTAGATGCAAGAAAGAGTTTGACAAAAATGTAAACCATGTTTGGAAAAGAGAGAACAAAAACAAAAATTGTATGAGATGGCATAGTTAATAAAATTACAACTATGTATCCAATCCAATACACAGAGAAAACAAGAAGAAAAAAAACTCCAAATAAGTATATCAAGAGCAAAATTACAGCCACTGTCACAAAATCACTACACGCAATATTATACAACACACGATGATATGTGAGACCTAACGACAGTAAGTAACAACATCCTTATCCACCTACTACAAACCAACTGTTTTCTTGTTATAACCTTTTTTCTGGTACTTGTCTTCGGTTTTCAGTCCCACAACTTTCTTGGTATCTTTACCCGGGTGGTCAACTTTAGCCGGTTTAGCCATGCTTTGCTGCAGTTGAATCAAAGCTCGGACCACTTGGTCCATGGTTGGTCTTGACTTGGGTTCGGACGAGATGCACTGCACAGCAATGCTAGCCAATCTCACCGCCTCTTCAGGTTTGTACTGTGACTCAAGACGAGAGTCCACAATTAGTAGAACCTTTCTCTTGCTTGTGAGGTATGGCCGAGCCCAGTCCACAAGGTTGTGCTCCCTGGCTGGTCTGTTATGGTCCAATGCTCTCCTTCCAGTTAGTATTTCTAGAAGCACAACTCCGAAACTGTACACATCGCTTCTAGCATTCAAGTGTCCTGCAAAAAAAAAAAGACAAGAAAAAATATTAGAGGATGAAACAAGAACTAAACATGTAAAAATAAAAATAAAAAAGAACTAAACATGCAATTCTTACATCATCTTCGTAACAATTTGTATCTAATAAAATTAATAAATTGATAGAATGTGGTCATAAAAAAAAAATTGATAGAATGTACCTGTGGAAACATACTCAGGAGCAGCATAGCCAAATGTACCCATAACTCTTGTACTAACATAGCTTGTTTCTCCCATTGGACCGTCTCTAGCTAACCCAAAGTCTGAAAGTTTTCCATTGAAGGCCTGTTCTCAATACAAATAGAAACAAAGTTAAGTCTTTGATTAAAGAGAACCAATGAGATTTCTATTAGAAAGAGCGTTATACCGAGTCAAGTAAGATGTTAGAGGCCTTGATGTCTCGGTAAATGACTTTGACAGGGTCACTATGAAGAAACGCTAGACCTTTAGCTGCATCAAGGGCAACCTTAACTCGTAAGGTCCAAGAGAGCGGCTTACACTTCACACCACCTGCTCCAAAACCAATTCAAAACATAAGAACAAACAATCTCATAAAACAGTTTCAGGGTCTAGAACAGTAACATGTGGAGTCCTTATAGTAACAATAACATATAAATACAGTTACTATTAACTGTGGTACGGTCTGTAAAAATTAGAAGCCTCAATAAAACATATATGACTTACTTGGGAAGAGATGATCCTCAAGACTACCCTTATGCATAAACTCATACACAAGAAGTCTTTGCTCATCTTCCAAACAGTAACCAATCAGTTTAACTAAGTTCGGGTGACTTAACTGTCCCAAGTAGTTAATCTCTGTCTGAATTCACAACAAAAAACACACAAATTCAGACAACGAAAGTTTTAGAGATTAAAGAAACATAACAAGAACAATGTTGTGTTGTGTTGTACTATACCAGCCATTCACGGTGACCTTGAAACCCATCAGGGTTAAGCCGCTTGACAGCAATTACAAGACCAGAACTGGATTTAGTTGGAGCAAGAGTTGTCTCATCGATCCAACCTCTATAGACAGTTCCAAATCCTCCTTCTCCGACAACAGAGTCCGATCTGAAGTTTCTGGTCGCGAGTTTAAGCTCGTTGTAAGTGAAGCTTTTGACGTTGGCCTTGCTAAGTATCTCTCCTTCTCTCTTATGAGCTGCTGATGATGATGACGATTGGACACTTGAGAGATGAAGGTCGTAGAGACCACTGCTCTTATCTGCAACAACAAATCGTTGACCAAAGTCAAAATAAAGAAGAAATTTAAAAAAACAAAGTGTAAATCTTTACTTAGATCACGTGAAGATTCTAACAAAGTTCATTCCTTTTCTTAAAACCCATCATTGAAAAACTCATGAAAGATCGAATCTGAAGGAAAAATTCAAACTTTTTTCCAGGAAAGTTTTATAAAAATGGAAACTTTTTTGTAAGTTGCAGAGAACGTACTATTGATACGAGAACTGAGGCAAGAACCCATTACTAGAGAATGGAAGCTTGTTTTTTTTTGCCTTTTTCTGAAAATAAGTTAGTTCTTGAACTGTGTTTGTGTAAAACAGAGATATCAAGAAAGAGAGTGAAGAAGAAGAATATAAGAGAGAGAGAGAGAGTTATAGAGAGATGATGGGTGTTGATGAGATACGAGAGGTAACGATGAGAGAAGAAGAAGAAGAAAGGTCTTTATGTGTGTGATAAAGTACAAAACACACAAACTTAAGACAACAGTGTTTCTTTGACTAGCAAGGCAGGTGATGGAACCGAGTTGAAGAAAATAATATTTTAATAATTTGATATCGGTGAACATTTCCTCTCCTTTGGTTTTACTTTTTATAGATTTGTTTTGTAGCTAAACGTACAAAGAGATCACTGAGTGGTTTTAAGTTCGATGTACAGTTTAGATGAAGTCTTCAAAAGACCTCAGTCATGAGTGGTGGGGTTTGATGCAAAAGTTTAATTTTCGATTTAGGCCCTGTTCGTTTCGTGAATTGGATGAGAATTCCAGACGCGGCATCCATGCGCAGTAATTGGATGCAGCATTCAGATGTTGTTCGTTCGCGATTCTGGAAATTTTGGATCATGCGTCTGGAAATTGTATCTGGATGCAATTATGTTCGTTTTGTATTCTTTATTTTATATCTGGATGAATTTTATGTCAAATGACCAAAAACTCCTTATCTTCTCTTTTGGTCTAAACATGTATATAATTATATCTAAAAATTCAATTTTAATGTTTTAACTTGTAAAAAATTACGTTAAAGTACAAATAAAATAGACATAAATAAAAATAAATATTAAATTCAATTTTTCATGTTTTCTAACATTATAAAGTAACAATAATAAACATTAAACTCAAAGTATTGAAATAACAAAATAAAAACTCAAGACTCAAAACATAAATCCTTGACATAATCTTCAAATGTCTTGAATACTTAAACCTGAAAAATATAGTAAACATATAGTAAGATATACACAAAATACTATCTCAAGCAACCCAAGAACAATAACCACAGTTACACAATGCTGAAGCTGCAATATATCTTTCCTAAACCTCAAATAAAAGAACCAAACCACACTAAGCAACACATAAGCAAATGCCATATACACATAGAACTTCACCAACACATAAGCAAACCATATCTACAAGAGATAATAGGACACAGTAACAATGGTTGTAGAGCTTTGATCCGTACACTGCCACAAATCTGTACTTATTTAAGAATTTTTTAAAACCTAAACACTCTTTCCAAAATAATCCAGCTGGGCCGATATATGATCCAGGAAGGTCGATTACATATGGTTCTGCTAAAGCAATTAAATATACTCCTCAAAATGACAGCAAGAAGTTAGAGAATCGTAAATAGAACCATAATACCTCGTTAAACTTCACTAGTTTTGTGACAATAACTGTTGTTTCAAACAAGCCAGAAGTAATTTTTCTCCCAAAATGACGATACAGCTCCCCCAAGCATTGGGCAGCACCTAGCAACAAAAAAGGTTGGTATCTATAAACTTAAGAACATAAGACCATATAAACATAAAGTAGTAACCAAACGCACCAACGAGAAACTTCAGAAGTTTAAACACCAGAAAAAAAAAACTCAACTTCCTACTCCCATCGTCGCTTACAAAAAAAACTCTATACGAGAGCTAAAGAGCTGCTTCCAAGAAGAAAGATCAAAAATCAAGAGATCTCTACTTCATTATCAAAGCTTATTGAAGCAAGTTAACACAAAGAGAAGACCTAAAATCTCAGTATCCCAATCTGATAAAATTAAACTAACAAACCAACACACAAGAGGCCAACACACAAAGCAACTCTCACATAACATTTCACAAAGCTCAACACAATACAGCTTTACTTTTCACAAAGCTCAACACAATACAACACAATGAAGCATATATTAAGAGGAAGCTTACCAGAACAGAGACAGTTCGCGTCAGAGAAAGCTTGAAAGCTTGAAACTTGATGCTAAGAAAAACAAAACAAATGAGATCTCCAAAAGGGTATCTAAGTTACAGATTAAGTGTGACGAAAACAACAGAAAAGCTTACCAATAGAGCGTGAGAGAGGGAGAGACTGCGAGAGAGAAGGAGAGACTGCGAGAAAGAGAGAGACTGGGAGAGAGAGAGGAGTGCGAGAGAGAGAGGACTGCGAGAGAGATTTAGGGTTCTGGGATCAAGAATATGAGAAAATTCCTGAGAGTTTTCATGGAGATTCGAGAGGTTGAAGAGAGGTTGCGGAGAAAAATAAGATCTGCTTTGACGGCGACAAAGAAATTTTAGGTTTAGAAATCAAAGGTAAAATTGGGTAATTGTTAGGAAAAATTAAGGGTATTATCGACTTTTAATAATTTTGGATGAGTTTACTGTTTCTGGAAGCGTTTAAAAATCTCATCCAGAATTTCTAAAAAACCCGGATGAGTTGTGAAAAAATATCTGGATGCTGCGTCCAACTTAACCTCCTATTTCGCACCAAACGAACATCGGTCCGCGTCTGCGTCTGGATGCCGCGTCCAGTTTACGAAACGAACAGGACCTTATATGGTTTGGGTGTTGAATGATGAGACATATTCTTGGTTTACTGTTGTTATTGATCTGATAGAAAGCATACAAAAGCAAGTTTCGACCTTTGGAGATTGGTAAAGTTTTGTACAAGTTAAGAAAAGCAAGATTTGTAAGAAAATGTATAAGTTTTATACGAGTAGGTAAGAAAATACATTATCCTCCTTATGGTTTTCTGGTTGATATATAATAAAATATACGTATGTATGATGAAACTGACTTCTACTGTACAAAAAGAAAATTATAATACAAATAATCAGTATAAAAATTAAAGCTTACACAAGTAGATAAGAAAAGTAAGATTTTGTAAGAAGAAGTTAACTTATGTTTTAAGACAATTAAACAGTAATTAACTTAGGATCATGGGACAGAAGTTTCATACATATAAAATGGTTAACACAGATACAGATAAACGCAGATTTTAAAACTAACACATAGCTGGCCAACTATTGAACTATGCATGTTGTTGTCATATCTATAATCTGTAATTTAATTTTCAAAAAGAATCTTTACTAGGTTAGCTCAAACCTATATAAAGTAGTTTATTATGATATGGTGATTGAACCATATTACAAGATGTAAATATCGTAGTTATTGTCTTTGTTAGTGCTAATTTTAGACCATTTTACTAGAATTATATTAGTGCAAATGGACTGAGGTTGGTAGTTAAAATGTCAAACAAAGAAAAATCAGCAAAGTGAAAAGAGATTATCCAACTCTATGTAGATTAGGCTCTGATTGGTATTTTTTGGTATTATATTATTTCAAATAGGTATTTAGTGGAGTAAAAGTTGTGGAAATAAAAAGGTGCGAATAGAGGAAAACAATAAATTAAACTCGGAGTAAAATGTTCCTTATAATTATTATAGAGTAATAGATTACTCTAATTTTAATCAATTTTAGAGTAAATTGACAGAAAATCAACTTTGTTTGATTGGTTTAAAAGAGTGTAACTGAACATAAAAGTTTGTTTCTACTTTTACAGTCGCTACCACTGCCGTCCAGTCACACTCTTAGGTTATGAATGGGAGGGGTAGGACAAAGGCAGATCATGCAGTTCTCCTGCAATAGGCAGTTCTCCTGCACTGCTTTTGCCATTCATCTTTTTTTGTTTCTAAAAGCAGTTCAAGCGGGAGATCTGCATGCAGTTCAGTATTTTTTGTCTTTTTGTGAAAAAAGCAGGAGATCTGCATGCAGATCTCACCCTCTAACATTTGATGGTGTTGATCTGCTTTTTTCACTAATGAATGATTTTGCTGCAAATATTAACTTTAAATATATTTATTAATTTTATAAATAATATATAATGATTAGCTCAAACAATATTATTCACACTAAATACTATTTGTGTCAATTTTAAAATTACAAGCATATCATTTTTAAACTTATAAATATGACATTCAGTCATAAACAAAACATAATATTTTTCAACAAAAAAATTTAAATCATTCTATATAAGTATCAACAAAGATTTTAATATTAGTAACATGTTGGTTCTTCAAAGATAATTTTGATTAACTAAAACGAAAATAGAAGAAATATAAGCATCATATGGAAAATTCAATAAACATTTTGGCTGATCCTACAACATCTAAGATATTTATTTTGATATTTTAGTATAATCTTTTATTCTTTGAATATATGATCTATATTTTTGAACTGGTGTTGTCATTCATAATTTATAATAAATCGTTTGATCTGTATCTCTCATGCATGATCTGCATCTCTCCTGCATGATCCGCTTGATCTGCACTTGTCCTGCTTGATCTGCACTTGTCCTGCTTGATCTGCATGAACCGCTTGATCTGCACTGCTTGATCTGCTTTTACCATTCGAAGCCTTAATGTTTGTGTAATAAAATAAAGAATCTTTTAAAATGTTCTCACTTTTTAAAACATGCTACCTATTCAATTTAACAGGGTAGTAAAACCATCGACACCATTACAAACCATTGTCTATACAATTTTGGAAACTGTGTAATGACATATTTTTACAACAACAGTTCGAAAGTACTGAATCTAATCAAATCAAAAGTGGCTGATAGAATAAATTCACAATTCCTGCTGTTTGAATTGCAGAAAACTTTCCAGAAGTCAGCGTTTCACTTTATTTACTTTTCTTTTGGTTTATAAGTCACACTGTCAATTAATAAGTTTTTCTTTAACATTATAAAACATCATTTTCAACCCTTTTGTGATATCCGAAAATTATAGGAAGATATGATTACAAAGTGCTTTAGTGAAAGACATACAAATCTGTTTATCAATGAACACTCATAGAAGGTTAAGTTATCAGAAAGCAAGCTTATAGATTTGAATTTTGATATAGAAGAATGGATAGGTTTATGGATCTAATAAAGTCTAATAATAGCTTAGTCTGACACACATAAAATGTGTTGTCCCAATCTTATATTTATATAGTTTAATTATTCAGTCGTCAGACTAACAATTATAAAAATCTCAAACCCTTGTTTCAGTTAGATGAACCCCAAAATACGCTACTACGGAAAGATCGACGACTTTTCAAACCTCCCTTTGACCCTTTCTAAGGTCACAATTGTTTGCTCGTTACGCAAATAAGTTCAGCGTCAACTAATAATAATAAATACATTTTTCAAAAAGTAAAACAGGTGCGGAAATTTAAAGATACTATAAAATTATATATTAATGTGGATTTCTATAAACATGGTCTGACTTGTGAGATAAAACATGATCACCATAAGTCGCTGTGTTATTGGTATTAGTTAGATTTTCATGGTCAGGTCAAAATCCGTACTCTTATTTACTTTCGTGGTCAGGTCAAAACCCTTATTTATTACAATTGAGTTCAGTATTTTCAAACTGTTTTTGACATTAGGAGCTCTTCTTTTGGACTTTTCCATCTCTTTTACATTACCACGCTCGTTCCACTGAGCTGTTTTTACTTGTTAATTAACAAGGATTACTACCAAAGAATGACATTCGTAAAAAACAGTGAGTTTCTCCACAATGATTCTTTGATTAATGTTAAATGTTTCTCATGATTACCTACTATAAAGTTGAGAATAAAATAACATTCTAAAAGCTTAAGGTCAAAATTGATAAGCCAGTAGCCAAAAAGCGAGAAATAAAATAATGAAACTACATAACCCATTCGATGACAGCAGCGTTATATGGCCAAACCCAGTGAGTTTCATCATTTTACTGTACTTTATGTAAAGTGGCTGACACCATTATTCAGAGATCAGATGTAACAAAATACTAATGGAAGTGGAACTAATGACATATCGCTTTATCAGGTCTAGTTAATGCTTAAAAAACAGTAAAGCAATTTCGATGATAAGATTTAACGGAACATGATGTCTAAACATAGTTCAAAGATAATGACGATGACAAGAGTTAGAAAAATGACCAACATGCACCAGGACCGTACAAACCAGCACCCATTTTAAAAACATTAATTAAAAATGTTAAATTGGATAACGATAGAACGACTGTGTAAAATATAAATAAGAAGAAATGATGTGTGTGTCATCCATCAATGAAACAAGTGACTTAGAAAAGAATAGAAGAGACATTTGTAATTGGGTTAAAAATTGTACTGGGCTAGACCAAAAACACTTGCTAGGCTGGGGTACATGTTGTCCATTTTACTTTTAATTAAATAGCTGGGACGTTGAGAAGACAGAACACAGCTTCAACCAGGAATATTTATAAAAAAAGGTAGAGATTTTTGTAAAGTTGACAACTAAATAAATGGTGAAGCAAATGATTGTTGCGTTCTCAAGATGACATACAAACTGAAGCAAAGAGTATCACAATACTGCATCATCTTATTCATTTTGATGAGTTGAGACTGAAAAAAAACGTAAAAGGAATCGAGGTTTGCTTTAGTCAACTCATTTAGGCGCTCTTCTTCACCTCAGCAGCCTTGATGATATCGATAAACTCAGGCTGCAGAAGCAACAATGAAAGAAGAAGATGAAAACACATTAGATAATGGTTTTGACTGAAACAATACTATAAGAAGGCAAAACATAATATATAATGTACCTTTAGAGAAGCACCACCGACCAAGAAACCATCAACATCTGCCTGACCACCTAGCTCCTTGCAGTTACCACCATTGACGGATCCTGATCATTTATTTTCATAATCAAGCTTAGTATCAAAAAGACTTTTGTGTAAGAATTTGGTTTAAATCAAAGTATTGTCATATGACATGTTATTTATTATCTACTACCTCCGTAGATGATGCGGGTTGTAGCAGCGACATCAGCACTCACATTCTTTGCAAGCCATTTCCTGAGCTCATCATGTACCTATGTTCATAAAAGAGAAAGAATATTGGTTTTCATATACCAAGTCATGGCGAGAATTAACAGCTCACAACGCATAGAGAATAAACTTACTTCCTGAGCTTGGGCTGGGCTAGCGACCTTTCCGGTTCCAATGGCCCACACTGGTTCATAGGCTATAACAACTTTTGACCAGTTCGACACTCGATCTGCCATTACAAACAAAAGAAAGTTACTTGTAAGAAAAATGGCCAAAAAACATTTATGTGCAGTTAGAAGATAAACAAATAAAAAGAATAGTAAGTGGAGTGTATAGATAAGATAAAGTCACCATGCACTGCCTTATTAAAACAGATATGCACTTAGAGGGGGTACAAACTACAAAATAGAACTGCTATATCATAACAGGGTCCTGAGGTCAAAGAGAACGGACTAAAATAAGTGTTTGAGAATAGACATACCAGCAATAGCTTTAGTCTGGGCAGCCACAACATCCATGGTGGACCCAGCCTCCCGCTGCTCAAGAGTCTCACCAACACAAGCAATCACGCTCAAACCTTGAGCAAGTGCATAGGCAACCTTGTCTCCGACAAACTACAATTGTGGGATTAAGGTTACATATCAAAAATCATGGCTCTCAAATCCAAATGGTACAGCAGAATTTCTTGTTCTTATCATGAAAGGGTCACCAACCTCGTTTGATTCATTGAGCAGTGCCCTCCTCTCAGAGTGACCAAGGATAACCCATGGGATGTCCAAGTTAACAAGCATCTCGGCACTGCACACACACATATTACAGAAGGCATAAGAGGAAGGATGCAATATGAAACTAGATAAATAAGAGCAAACAAAATTGTATTTTTAACACAATCTAATAGCAACTTCAAAACCCAAATATATTTACGCCATATAACCATAAGGATATAACAATATGAAGTAGAAGGAACCCACCTGACTTCACCAGTGAAGGCACCTCCTTTCTTAACCCAGCAGTTTTGTGCCGCAACATGGAAGTCAGACCTCAATGTGCTCTTAACCAGAGGAAGAAAAACATATGGAGGGCTAACCACAACCTCTGCATTTGTAGAATTTTCCACTACACATTAGTTAAAAATAACGGGGATAGTTTTTTTGACTTACAGCTATTAACATTTCACAAAAAAAAAACAAATCATATATGTCCATAAGAAATGTACAACCGGAAGAAGATTCAACTAACAACAACTACATGATAGATTGGATCATCCTTGCAGATAGAACACATTTGATCTACTCACAACTTCACTATATACTCCACTGTTCTAAAAATCGGTCTAGGCAGCGCCGAGACCAAATCGAGTATGAGCAAACAATTTTTTCAATCCATTTTTTTTAAATATGTCTAGCCGTTTAATAATCGGCTTAGTCGCCTGCCTAATTACCTACTAGCGATTTTTAGAACATTGATAGAGTCAATACAATAGACACATAATTTTTTTGTATAAATTCTAAAACTCTCTAACTAGTGATTAGCATGTCCTGTTTAAACCTTATTAGGAAGGTGACTTCTAGCCAAGACTCACACATCCATAAGATATCATACACACACTAAAAAACAGAAAACAATACTTCTTCCCATCAAAAAAAATAATAATTGAGATGCTACAGTGCACATACCAACAACATCCTGGGAAGGAACTTGAGCTTCGTTAAGAGTGTTGACAATCTTCTTCACCTCCTCAGCAGTTCCGTTCTACAATTTTGATTCCAAAACATTAACATAAAGCTTAATCCAAATCTTAGCCAAACAACATCCATACCAAGATTCAAATTAGAGATCTCGCATCATCGAATCGAATCAAATAAACATCAACAATCAGTACTACAGATCGAACACCATGGATCTGAGATTCAACAATCAATCAAGCACAAAACAAGCGATCTAAGCCTTAAAACGATCTAATTCAACTGATCAACGATTTATAAGCGGGAAGAAGAAGAAGTCTTACGCATTTCCAGTTGCCTCCGACGAAGAACTTTCTGGCCATCTTTTTATCAAACGATGATCACGAGAAACAGAGCTTCAAAGATTAGATAGATCGAGAGAGAGGGGAGTGTTCAGTGGCCGTTGTATCTCGCAAGGGTCACTATTATATAAACTTAAATGTTATTATTACTCACAATTGAAAATTACGATCGTGTCTAGGTATAGAGGAATATTCCCATGAGGTGACTAAGGAAAGAAGAGGGTAATATAGTCATTTATGAGGGAGGAGGCAATATTTATCGACGTGTAGGCCAAGGTCTGGAAAGGTGAGGGTGATAACGTCAAATTAGGAGAAATGTGGCGTGGTGAGTGCTGCTGTTGTAATAAAGGTTTAACGGCCCATTAAAATAAACCAGTAAAGCCCACTAAACATGTTCTTCCTTAATTGTATTTTTTTTTTTTTTACAATTCCTTAAACAATATTTGTAGTGTTTGAAATCTGAATTTTATATTGAGGTTACCATCTTTTGTATGGTTTTGACGTTGTCATGCGGCGTGAGGCGTGAGCATCGAACGTTTAACTTGCAACAATACAACTTGTTTTATTGAGTATATAAAAAATTAGCCTATAAGTTTGTGACATTTTGTGAATATCAAAATCAATATACGCCACTGCCAGAAGAGTATGTTAGTTCACAACCTTATAGGGTAATTTTCATATTCAAAATATTGCCCTAAATGTTCATCATGTAATAGATTGAAATTATTTACAACTTGGCACACAATGATGAAATTTAAAAAGATTACCAGTAGGGAGTTTGAGTAATCCATTTGATTTAGAGGTCTTGAAGTTTTACTCTCTAAAGCCTAATATTTTGAATTCAGTTGTGTGATCTAAAGTTAAAAAAAAAAACACCACAGTTAATGAAACTGCCTAACTGGTAACATATTTGTTATCACCATTGAAAATTTTATCTTTCAGTAATCTCGGCTCCAAACATGTCCTATAGGGTCTATAGTCTTATGTCCATCTAATTATCTTTTATTGTAAAAACTAACTAAACAAACTGCCATTTACCTAATTTGATGTAAAAAAGAAGTTGCGTTGGTGTTAGTGACAAATGACAATAAACTGAGATAACAGTAGCGGAAACATGGTGGAAGGATCTTCTTTGCTAAAGAAAGCACAACAAGTGGAAAAGCAAAAGGGTATACGTAAAGGTTAAGAATCAGCTTCCTCAACATCTTCTTCTTCTTACATTGAAATTCGAATCTATTTGACTTTGGTCGTCAGTGTTGAGACATGTGTTTATATAACTATCAGAAACCGCGTCCAACTATTTATCCTCTTTTTCCTTTTTTTTTTCAATTTGTTAATTACATTAAATAATTACTAATAATTACCCTAACCAATAACTATAGTATAATTAGGACACTCAAATCTGTCATTGAGAGCATCTTTGAAAAAGCGTATTCAACAAAAGCAACGCTCCATATTCAACTTTTTTTTTTCTTTAAAACGAGATAATATTTACATAAAAGTAAAATTTGATCAAAATTTTTACATAAAAATAAGATAGTAAAAATAGAGATATATATATATATACATATATAAATCTATACTATTATTTAAGAAGTAAATTTGCTTAGTTGTCATCTTCTCCATAAATTTAGGTAATTTTATTTATTTATCATATTTTAAATAGTTATATATCTATACTATTATTTAAGAAATAAATTTTCTTAGTTGTCATGTTCTCCATAGGTTTAGGTAATTTTATTTATTTATCATATTTTTAATAGTTATATATATCTTATTTATAAATAAAACGAATCTTCTATACTATTATTTAAGAAGCAAATTTGCTTAGTTGTTATGTTCTCCACAAGTTTAGGTAATTTATTTATTTATCATATTTTTAATATTTATATATATATATATATATATTATTTATAAATAAAACGAATTTATATGAATTATCTTATTTTCTATAAATTTGCTTAGTTGTCATGTTCTCTATAAGTTTAGGTAATTTTATTTATTTATCAAATTTTTAATATTTCTATATATTTTATATATAAATAAAACAAATTATAAGAATATATCATATTTTTAGAAAATAAGANGTTCTCTATAAGTTTAGGTAATTTTATTTATTTATCAAATTTTTAATATTTCTATATATTTTATATATAAATAAAACAAATTATAAGAATATATCATATTTTTAGAAAATAAGATAATTCTTGTGAATTATGTTGTTATTGAATTATGTTATTATCTTGAAATATATTTTTATTTATAAAACTGAAATTTTAAATTAAGGTATAAAGACTTTTATACTTAAACGAATTTCTATTAATAATTGAATATTTAAATATAAATAAACCGAATTTATGTTAATAATTTGATATTTTCTAAAATAAGATAATTATTATGTATTATGATGTTATGTTGAAAATATGTTTTCCTATTATAAAACTTAAAATTAAGATAGAAAAATTATATTATTAATAATTAAATATAAATAATCAAAACAATTATTTGAAAGTGAATTTGAGATTTGTCTCCATGATCCTAGGTAATTTTGATCATTTATCAGAATTTATATAATTTTTTTTATTATTGATTATAGAATTGAAACTAATTTGTATTAATAATATGATATTTTAGAAAATAAGTTAATTATTATGTATTATTAATGTAAATTTATTTCAATTATAAAATAACTACAACTTTTTATATTTTAATTTTAAATTTCTAATAGAAAAATATATTTTCAAGAGAACAACTTAATACATAAGAAATATCTTATTTTCTAAGAATATGATGCTATTAATATAAATTTGTTTTAAAAATATAATAAATTATATATAAAATTAAAAAATTAGGATAAAATATCAAAAATTCCCTAAAATCATGGAAAATATGACAAATCAACAAGAATTAAATTTACTTTTTATATAATTGTATAGATTTTTTTTATATGTTAATTTAAAATTTTATAATAGAAAAATTTATTTTCGAGATAACAGCATAATAAATAAGAATTAACTTGTTTTCTAAAATATCATATTGTTAATATAAATTAGTTTTAATTATATAATCAATAATAAAAAATTAGAGTAATTCTAATAAATGATCAAAATTATCTAGGAACATGAAGACAAATCAACAAATTCACTTTTCAAATAATTGCTTTGATGATTTATATTTAATTATTAATTGTATAATTTTTATATCTTAATATCAAGTTTTATAATAGGAAATATATTTTCAACATAACAACATAATACATAAGAATTATCTTATTATAAAAAAAATATAAAATTATTAATATAAATTCGTTTTTATTTTATAATAAATTTTATATGAAATTATTAAAATATGACAAATAATCAAATTTATCTAAATTATGGATAAATTACAAATCAGATAATTCACTTAAATTTGCAAAGTGATTTTTCGCAACGCAGCTTTCACGTTAAAAGTTGTACTGATTAATATCGTTTATATCCTTAATGGATAAAATATATAAATCAGCCAAAAAAAAAAAAAAATGGGTTTATAATTATTTGATTAGATAAATGATTTAAATTAATAATAATGATAAGAATTATCCATAATTTAAATATATATTTAAAAATAAAATAAAATAAAAAGATAATTCTTATATATATTGTGTTGTTATCAGAAAATATATTTAATTAACATATAATCAATCATAAATTATAAACAAATTTCACTGATTTGATGACTATTATTATCTAAAAATAGTTGATATTAATAAACCATAAACTAAAACTGAATTAATATATAAATAACAATAAATTAATTATATTTAAAAAGGTGAATTTGCTGATTTATCATATTCTCCATGATTTTATGTAATTATAATTCTTTTATCATGTTTTTATGATTTTGATTAATGANCATATTCTCCATGATTTTATGTAATTATAATTCTTTTATCATGTTTTTATGATTTTGATTAATGATTAATTATTATCCTTAATTAATGACTAAATAAAATTATTCTTATATAATTATGAACCGTATATTAATTAGATTTACTACCCTTAATGACAAGCAAACATAAACTTAATGACTAATTGGATTTATTACTATATAAAGACTAATTAGATCTATTACTATATAATAATTAGAAACAAATCTTATTTGTCATGTTTCTTATGATTTGATGATTATCATTATCTAGACTAATGATTATAATAAATTGAATTATTAATTATATAGTAATAAATCTAATTAGTCATTAAGTTTATGTTTGATTCGTCATTAAAGATAGTAAATCTAATTGTCATGTTCTTATGATTTTTACTATCTTTAATGAAAAAGCAAACATAAACTTAATGACTAACTAGATTTATTACTATATAATGACTAATAGTTATTACCATTTGACCAAAAAAAGATTTATTACTATTTAATAATTAAAAATTCATTATATAATTAAACATAAGTAAAAAACGAATTTCAATGATTTTAGATTTATCTTTATCTAAAACTATTTTATATTGGGTTATAAAATCTTTATTAACCTTGAAATATAATTATATTTTTAGTAATGTATCATTAATTATAAATTAAAAACGAATTTCATTTATTTGATAATCATCCTTATTTAATTTTTTTATTTTATGTCTTTATCAACATTAAAAATAATTATATTAAAAATAATTATATTTAAAATAATTATATTTGTTAATATATAATTAATTATAATTAAAAACGAATTTCATGAATTTGATAATTATCATTATCTAAGTTTTTATAATTCTATTATAAGTCTGTATTAACCTTGATAAATAATTATTTTTGTTAATATATATTTAGTTATGAAAAAATAATTCGCAAAGATTTTATGTATAGATAGTTTACATTACTAAAGATAATTTTATTATACTTTTTTGTTATGTCTAAAAATGATATTAATTTATTACTAAATATTTTAAATTTATGAATATTTTCACATTTAATTGTGTATGACAATTATTTATATGATGATGAAAAAATTTATATATAGAAAGAATTTGTTTAGATTATTATTAAATATTTTGAGTGTATGAACAATAATTTATTATAATTTACTTAAACTGATTATATTTGAATATAGATATTAGAAAATTATTAAGCCCGCAAGTGCAGACAAAACACCTAGTAAGATAATAAAACTAATCCCATAAACTATTTGTGAAAAAAAATTACAAAAACATGACAAAAATAAAATAAAATAAAATAAAATACTATATTTTGCCAAATTAACTAAATTTTTCACGGTCATAACCAAATCCACTTTTTTCAATTATTTACAATTTTGCCTAAATTTAACCGACGCACATGAAAAAGACAAGAATAATTTATTTCCTTTTCTAAAAAGTCCAGCTGTTCGTCACTAACACTTATTTCACACGTATAAAAGCCTATACGAACAGTCAGATCTATTTTTATATAGTCTCTCAATAAAACTTTAACTCTCTCTCTCTCTCTCTCGTCATAAATAAACATCCCCAAAACAATTCACGGGTTCCATTTGAAACGTTCTATTTTCCCATTTTCCCAAAAACCAAGCAAAACATGGCCAAAGCGCCACCGTCAATCTCTCTCCTCCTCATCCTCCTCCTCTCCACCACCGTATTCCTCACCCTCCCCGCCTCCATCTCCTCCATCGGCGTCAACTACGGAACTCTCGGAAACCTCCCTCCTCCAACTCAGGTGGCCAACTTCCTCAAGACTCAGACATCTATAGACAGCGTCAAGATCTTCAACGTGAACCCCGACATCATCCGTGCCTTCGCCGGAACAGGAATCTCCGTCGTCGTCACCGTCCCTAACGGTGATATTCCGGCGTTAGCTAACGGAGTGGAAGCTCGTCGGTGGGTTTCCGCTAATATTTTGCCGTTTCATCCTCAGACAAAGATCAAGTACATCTCTGTCGGTAATGAGATTCTTCTCTCCGGTGATGATAACATGATCAAGAATCTTTTGCCGGCGATGAAGAATCTTAACGCTGCTTTGGTTCGTGCTGGTGTCAAAGATGTTAAGGTCAGTTCGTCTCTTCATTTCCTCATCTCCAGATTTTTGCTGTTTTTAATAAAGTAAATAATATTTTGTTGTCATTATTACATCATAATTGATGATTGGCGTGATAATGCAATTTGTAAATTTGTTTTAGAAAAAAAAAACTGAACTAGACCATTAATTGCGCATATAAAGTTGGAACAATCTAAAGTTAAATCCAACGTCCAAATGGGAAAATGTAGTTCAACGGGTTTCTTTACTTTTGCTTTGATTTTCTGTTCATTTATAAAAAAAAAAAGTAAAAATATTGCAAGTAAATTTCCAAGAAAGCTAGTGAATGATAATAATCATTCAAAGGTCCGACCATTAGGGGTGGGCACGGATCGGATATCCGGGTTTTTAAGGTATTTGTGATTTGCTTCGAATGTTACGGATATCTAATTTTGGTATTTGCTTTGCTTCGCAAAAATACGGATATCCGGAAAAACGGATATCCGGAAAATAAATAGATATTTGCGGATATTTACGGATATCTCATCCATTTTAATTAGTACAAATAATTTTAAGATTTTGATACAAATTTGCTTTGCAAAAATATTTTTTGCATGATATATAAAATAAAAATTAAAAGAACTAGTGAATTTATAGATTTTGTAATTTTTTAAAGTTTAAGTTACAATTATAATAACACAAAATTTAAGAAAAAAATATAATTGTCAAAAATATTTTATCTCTTTTTATGTAATACTTTTATATAAGTAATAATTTGAATAGAATTGTTCAAAATCATGTGCTAAAATAATAATTATATAATTTTATACAANATAAGTAATAATTTGAATAGAATTGTTCAAAATCATGTGCTAAAATAATAATTATATAATTTTATACAATTAAAATTTTAAATATAATCAAAATATACATATATTTATATATTTACGGATCGGATCGGATATCCGCTTTCCAAAATTTTAATATTTGTGATTTGCTTCGATTTTAACGGATATTGAATTTTAGTATTTGATTTGATTCGAAAGTTTACGGATATCCGGAATTTTCGGATCGAATCGAAACGAATAACGGATCGAATCAAATATAACGGATAAAATGCCCAGCCCTACCGACCATATAGACTATCCCACGTGCTGTATCACCGTCTTGTTTGTCTTTACATTCGGATATTTTCGTAGTGTGTCTGCCATGTCTTAAAATGTTCTTTGATTACGTCACAAATACTGAAATACATATATATACTCCGAATAAAATCAAATAATATACTAGTTTCATAAGAAATTTAGACCAACGTGATTATCATTTGTAACATGTTAGATAATAATTGATTTTAATATATCCTATTTGTTGCAATTTGGTTTCAGGTTACAACCGCACATTCACTTAACATCATAGCCTATGAACTAAACGGTGCACCAAGCAGCGGTAGATTCAGACCTGGTTGGGACAAAGGCGTATTAGCTCCAATCCTAGCTTACCATCGCCAGACCAAGTCTCCCTTCATGGTCAACCCTTACCCTTACTTCGGTTTCGACCCCAAAAACGTCAACTTCGCTATTTTTCGCTCACCGTACAAGGCGGTTCGTGACCCGTTAACCGGAAAAGTCTACACAAACATGTATGACACTCTCATGGACTCGACTTATTCAGCCATGAAAGCTCTTGGCTACGGAGATGTTGACATTGTCGTTGGTGAGACGGGATGGCCATCTGCATGCGATGCACCTTGGTGCTCTCCTGAAAACGCGGCTTGGTTTAATCTCAACATTATTAAACGTGCACAAGGGCAAGGAACACCGTTAATGCCTAACAGACGGTTCGAGACTTATATTTTCGGTTTGTTTAATGAAGAAGGCAAACCCGGTCCGACCGCGGAGCGGAACTGGGGGCTTTTCCGGTCCGATTTCTCCCCGGTTTACGACGTTGGCCTCCTCACAAACAAACAAGGTGGTGGTGGTGGTGGCCTTCCCGCACCAGCATTGCCAACGCCTAGTACTGCTGCTGGTGGTAAATGGTGTGTGGCCAAGCCGGAAGCTACTGATGCGCAGTTGCAAGGGAATATTGACTGGGTGTGTAGTCAAGGAGGTGTTGATTGTAAACCGATCCAAACCGGTGGTTTGTGCTTTAACCCGGGCAGCGTGAGGGCGCAAGCGTCTTTCGTGATGAACGCTTATTTCCAGAAGAACGGTCGCACTGACGGGTCGTGTAATTTCAGTGGAACTGGAGTTATCGTTGGGAACAACCCAAGCAATGGTGCGTGTAAGTACTAAGTGGTATCTGTTTAAGAGGTTTGTCTATGTAGCTTTTGTTTGGGAAAGACTTTGGCATAATGTTTCCTTGAGAAACTTTTCATGTGTTGGAGAGGTCATTAGCTTTCTGTTTATCTTCGGATATTCTTCTAATTTTAAGGTTTATTCGTTCCTTTTTCTTTTCAAGTCATTTTATTTGAATAAATGAAGAGGAACTTCTTATAATATTTGCTTTAGACATACGTTTTAAACGCGATAATCTCGCTGTCTTGTGATCTTTATGTTTGATACTGATGGTCCATCAAACTATAAAGCAATATGAACATTAGAACATAATCTTATCAACAAGATAATTATGTTTTCTAGGCAGGTTCTTCGACTAATCATACATTGGTAGGTAGGGGTGACACCAAATACATGAGAGAATCCACTCCCACATTTGAGATTTATGTTTTCGGATCTGTATAATGAATTCACGCAGTCGCCATAATCGAATCTTAATATTCAAAATTCCAAATCTAAATTTTCTATGCTGTATTTGTAAATATTCTTATTGTAAATGAGGTTAAAAAACCTTAAGGCATCACTCCCCTAAGATATGATTACAAAAGAGATGTTCTTTTGCTATGGTTATTGACTTATTGATCAGTTACTAATACAGAGTGACACCTTCAGCTTAAATAGTCTCAGTTCATAATGTAAGATCTACGTACTGATTCACCTGTGGTTCAAAATCTCTTGTGCTCTTTATTTTCATAAATTTGTAACGTTCAAACTTTTAAAATTCATCAACAAACGACGGGTTGGTGGTTAAACAAAGATAAAATTGCATAATACTTTAAAGCATGACTGTAATTAGTAAAGTAACCGTTGGTTTGTCCGCATTGTTGACTAATCCAGTGTTAAACAGAAACTTTCAATTATGTTTTTTCCTCGATCTTCTGTTTTCAGTCAAACATGAGCAAAACGTATTTATAAAAGTGGCTAAAATCACACTGGCGATGATATTCTACAATGATGACATTGCATTGTTAACATAGCGTGATATTGACATTGTTAATATAGAATTATAACCATTTTGTTAGTCAACTATAAACAATATCTGCATTAATGAGTTTTGATCTCGTTCAGGAATAATACTTGACTAGTCACGATGTAGAATTAACCAAATAGTGACACTACCACACCTACCAAAAAGGCAAAAACTACGAGAGCAAATCTATTCACAAAATGAATATAGAAATCAAAGAAAGTGCTCGTAAAAGTAGTCCAATTCCTCGATCGTCATACTTACAAATGTTATCAACTTATCATTAACAAAAGAAAAACTGGTTTTGTTTCCGAGTGACTTGAAAGTTTGAAGTTGTTGGCAAAAGAGACATTCACCTTCGAACAACACAAACGGTTTGATCTTATTTTTTTAACACTTTTTTGGAAATACTACACAAACAATTTAATCTTATTTATACCAGTCTCCCACCCAAAAAAAAAATATTAATAACAATCCCTCACCACGATTCATTAGGGAACCAAAATAAATAATAACCAGAACTCATTTTTTTGTATATCAAAATTAAAAAAAAAAGTCAAAAATAATAAAAAAGAAGAGGGCCAGTTCAATTATAGTACTAGTGAGCCATAGCAAAAGGAGGGTAACAACTGTAATTAATAGCTTTCTGCTGGGGCATTACAAGCATCGCCGTGTGATCCATGAAGTCTTTCAAAGCCACCACCGCTTGTAAAATTACCTTTAAGTCCTCCGCCGCCGCAAAACCTTCGTTTCCGGCGTTTCTCACGGCGTAGACGTAAAACGTCAAGCAACCTTTCCTGAACTTAAACCTCGCCATCTCCCAGTTCTTTAACTTTCTTATCATCTTCTTGTTCACTTCACCGAGCGGAATCTCCGCCGGCCATATTCCTCCTCCCGCCGACGTGGCAACCGCCGTCTTCATCGCCTCGGACTCGAACACGAAGACCACTACTTTTGACTTTCTTGTTCCTAGCCCGAGGGTTAGTGTGTGCCATGCTTGGTGAGCTAAGATCGTGAAGTTGGTCGGGAGATACGCCGCCGTGGAGAGAAGCGGCGGAGACGGTGGAGAAGGGAGGGAGAGGAGTTTGAGGAGCTCGAGTGTTCTTGCTCGCCGGATTGTGAATGATTTGACGATTATCTGGCCGCCGAACTTGAGGCCTTTGACGTCGGAGGAAGGTTTGAAGGAGATGTCCGGTGAGGATTTGGTGTCTTTGTTCTTCTTACTCTTCTTGATTTTCTTCTCTTTCTCTTCCATGGTTGGTCTGTTTCTTTCTTGATGTGTCTCTCTTTGTTTTTGTTTGTGATGAGAAGAAGAAGAAGAAGTTGGTGTAACTTTGGTTTTGGTTGGTGCTTTTGATTTAGAGCCTCACTCTCTTTCTTTCCTTTTTGATTAGTTTAATTTTCTGAATTATGTTGTTTCTTGATTTTGTAATATTATTATTATTTCAACGCCATGAGAAGGTTTCGAGTATGTTGTAAAGTTTGTTTAGACATCATATGCTATAAATGCAATGCAATCACCAGAGACAACTAGGTCAAGTGAAACTGTAAAAATAAGTAACTTAGGTGAGTTTCGTAGTCGACAAGAAAACCAATTGAGTTCTGGAAATAGCAAGTAGTGCATGCAGTCACGGTTCCGAACTTTTGGAAGAAAAAAAACGAATTAACTTTGGTTTTACTCTTTTTTTCTTGAACAACACTTTCGTTTTACTGAAACACTTCAATTCTTAGGTAATATATGTCCCTGTGAAAAAGAACAACATGTGAAGATGTATTCATTTACAGTATTTACCAAAAAAATTACTCACTAGAACGAATATTATGATGATCTGAACATCATGAATTGAGGTCACCATAGGCATAGCATTTCCAACTGAAGTAATCTATACTATTAAAAGAGAAGGAATCTAAATAGATCTACTTAAAAAAGTTGTTTGGACCCTTTCATTATACTAACACTTTTTTATCTTTCCTTATATTTCTCTAACAATATTATACAATAACATTATATCATATAACTTACCTTATATTTCTCTAACAATAAATTAGTCAATATTCTTATTTATTATACATTACTTTTATCGGTCAATATTTTTATTTCTCCACAATACATTATTATAACCTTATACCATATAATTTCATAATACGTGACTGATTTNTTATTATCATAGTATTCTAATGTTTGGGGATATTTATACAAACAATTTATAAAATTAATGATTTATTATTCTAGAGAAACTATTTTAAAACATTAATTTTGTTTAAAAAGATATCTAGACTCGTGAAAGATTGTAACTTATAATTTCAATATTTTCATGAATAATCTAATTTCTATGTATTTCCAGTGTGGTAATTTCTTATTTCCAGATATGTAGCAGGTAGGTTTGGATAGTTATGACTCAAAGTACCAATAAACCCGAAAAATATTTGAAAAATACTTCAAACCATAAATAAATACTCAAAATATATTCAAATATCTGAAAACCTTGAATTTTACCTAATCTGACTCGAAAACAAAATATACCCAAAAATTTGATTTGAATATCCAAAAAAAAAATATATATATATATATATAGAGAGAGAGAGATATATATATTGTAGAACCCGAAAACTAAAACTGTAACTAAAACTTAAAAGAATATACATAATACCAAAAACATATATGAAATATCCAAACATATATAATAAAAAAAATTTGAGTACTTTTATGTACCCGATCGGGTCTCGGTTATGATCCATACTAGAATCGATTCCTGCAGGTCTTTAAAGATAGCCAGTAAGTACTTTATCATGGATCCTAACCGAACCTATATTTCCGGGTCGGTTTGGTCATGTTTTTTGATCCGGATAAAATGTCAAGATCTAGAGAGAGTTACATTAAAAACTTACATATAAAATCTCAAATAAACTAATTTATAAATTACATAATTTTTCAAAAAATCTATTTTATATAATAAGATTTGTAGCATAATAATGTACATCAATTCTAAAATACTAAATCATATCACAATTTATTTATAATCTAACAAAAACCCGCGCTTTCGAAGCGCGGGTCAAAATCTAGTATTGTTTATAAACATTAATCGTTTGTTTTTACAAAAAAAAAAGCATTAATCGTTTGTAAAACAATGTATAAACATTTTGATAATATTCACGGTACACTAGTAGGAGCGACTAAATATGAAAGTTCCCCCCCCCCTACTATTGCCGACACTGTATTAATAACTGTCTTGCTATATATAATATATCAATATAATATAAGTTAATAATGTTATCAGAATTTCAACTAGCATTCCCAAAGTAACTACCATACGTTCCTTATGTGTAACAAAGGTTAAAAAGTTATCGGATTTCAATGTGAAATTTTAATTTAAACAATTTGATTTTACATTAATAGTTTAGTATTGAAATGTGTTTATTTTCCTAACGATGTCATAATAATGTAGATTGAAAGGTAAAATCAAATCTCACAAGTAGCTTAATGTGTGTATAAATAAACCTAGTACGTACAAAACAACAAAGTAATATAGTTGAATTTTATATTGGCCTATTAATGTTGCCATATGATATGAATGTGATATGCACATTTCTTAAGTACAAAAATGAATATAGGCGAAGTCGCGATCCCGTCCTAGTATGATATGAAAAGACATTAATTACATGCAAGACTAGTGAAGCCTCCCCCTTTTATGTTTCTTCAAATTATTGGCTAGCACCGTCAAGGAATAATTAACTTTTACGTTACGTAAAACATGTTTCAATCAGTTATCAAAGTAGCTAGTTTAGAACAACATAGTGATTTTTTTTTATTAGTCTAGAAGTATCACGAACCTATGAAATAACCAATCTTCAAAAAGAGATACTTCCACTGATAAAGACTCTCTCAAAGTATTCTGTGGGAGTCGATTTCACCCTACTGTCAAATAAATCGTAAATAAGGAAACTTCGGGAAAAACCCTAAGTTTCCAGAGGAACCGGCTATCTGCGAGAACCGCACAACGAAAATAAGAAAACGATAACTTAGAATAAAAACGAAAATAAGAGAGGTTTGAGAGCAAGAAGGTTCTTATTCCGAATCTGCGTTGAACTG